ACTTACGCCAACGCCTCTCCAATTTACGACGTTTGCGTTTTTCTGCGGCAATTTCCTCACTATACCACGGCGCAGATGGACGAGAGGTTACAAGGCGTGTTTTCAATGGAGCATGCACATCAACAACCTTGCTCAAGAATCTTATGCCTCTAACAACTCCTTCGATGGCTTAAAACGTGAGCGTATGATTCATTTCCTCCATCAATGGTTGCTATGAAAGCGACGATATATCATTGAAGTAAATACGTTCAGAAATTCCCTCAGGAAGTTTTGTGATCTTTTATCCTTACCCCACGCTGTTTCTCTATTCGGTTTTTGTTGCGTTCGCGCGTACGTAGAGCTCCGCTTTGAATGGGAATGCAAATGCAGAATGGTATTGTTATTCAGAGTTATTTGGATTCATGTACAGCACGTTGTGATGTGTTTTTCGTAAGTATCCCATTCTACAAGAGGAAGGTGATAATTATTTTAGTATTTTGATGCAAAAACTGTGTATTTGTGACCGTTTAACTATGCACACTTGGTGAGAGAGCATTTGATGCCGTAAAAATTCCAGGTCATGTCATAACACAGACATCAAAAAAAATTTAACACTGTGTGTACAAATGACGCTGTCATTAAGACAAGATTTAAATATTATTGTTTCCTTGGCGTCTATTGGACAGCCCAATATGATTCTTTACAACCCCATATTTGTATTATGCATGCAGTAATTAATGATAATATTATAAATAATAATAATCTAGTAATTTGCTTAAGTGTCTTTTAACATATAAATGATCAATGAGAAAAAATGAGAATGAAAATGGGAATTTTAATTTATCGAAGGCGCCTCAAGTAACCAAAACAAACATTGAAGGTGCCTAGAACCAACACAACCTAGTCACTGTACATAGTCTCATGCCAACGCTTAATTAAAAAGAACCAATGGAAATTCAAAAGGTACGAAAACAAATGCCCAGCACTGGGCAGATGTACGAAAAAATGCCTCTTTATGGGAACTTAGCACTTTACAGAAATGACCGGCAAATGCACCGGGGAGGGGCAGGGGTACTGTCACAACAGCCGATATTTCAATGTTATCTTTAGAACGGAACTCAGTTTTATCAGAGTTAACAATTCAGCATTTCAAATATGATTTTAAAACATTGAAGTTTAAGATCGCAGAAAACTCTGTAGTGTACAGATAAATGTTTATTCAGCCGTCTTGCAATTTGTTTTACCAAGATTCATAAGCAGTAAGAAGGTCCGATGGTATTTAACCTTAGATGGGAAAACGAAAACTGCTTAAAAATTACTTCCCTGAAGTTTCCGTCCCTAACAAACTTAGTGTAAACAAAAACTAGAATCAGGATATTAGTAATATTCAGCACAATAATCTAGAGCAATTGAAGTGTTCTCAGCCGCTTTACCATCCTTTGTACGAGCTCGTTTTTAACTAGGAGGATGTTAGTTGTTTATTCTGCTATGAATGTAATTTTATACTAAAGACTTGCCGAACATAATATTTGAACAGTATTAGCACAGCCAGACCACATATAAGCAAGCTTGTACACTGTACAATTTGAATTACCTCGAACCAACAGAACTGAATTACCTCCCGTTAAGACACAGAGCCATGCTGAATTACTTGAGTTGTCTACAAGTTAACTACGTGAGAAGATCAAACACACTTGAAGAGTTCCAATCCTGTTGAAGTCATTTCTGCTTTGTTCTACGGACAAGTTACTAACGAGCCTGTACCTCTGGCATTGTTTGTGACGTTGGCCGCGCAGTCCAGCGAAGTGTTCTACCGAGCTTTAGTCCCATTCCGTCCTTCAGTTATTCCCATTATTTCGATTATCCTTCTATTTGTCCAGCGCAACGCCGCGTATTTTATGACAGTTAAAGACGAAGAACACCCTAAAAACCTAACGTCACAGTACGCTTAGAATTGACTAGGCCACGAAGATGGAATCCAACTCGCACCTTCATACGTCTATGTGTTGCCTTTTTTTCCTCTGGCAAAAATAAGACACTTTTTATTTTAGTACAACAACAAAAATGGGAACGATTGCACTTGCATACACGACCTGCCTCTCGTCATCCATTACTAATTAATTTTAGTAAGCTGTTATTAGGTCCGGAAGTATCTTTTAACGGCAAAGTAAATTGCATCCTACAAGCTGTGTACAGGGACGGAGAGGCCGAAGTAAGAAATATCCCTGTTTTTTTTTAAAGAGTTTCTCAATGACCCATCTTGATTTTTACGGGGATCATATGTTATAGTATTTCTTATTTGCTAGGAAGGTTTAAGGGTTTTGCTCTCTTGTAATAAACTATTTAGGAAGTAACTCGACTTTTATTCGATGAAATCAAAAAATGGTCATTGCATTTGAAGAAAACAGTTTTCTTGGGACAGGAGCTTTATTGCTGCCATCTGAAGATAGCAAAGCATCATAAGTTTTCTGCGTTGTCTGTCACTTATGTCCAGGTTTGCACGCAGCAGCAAAAATTGCGATTTTTCGTGTGTTGCGAAAAATCGCAAGTCTGACGATTTTTCGCCCTAGTTGCGATTTTTCGCAGTTCTTTGTCATGTTAATCACTGAAGTTCAGAGCGAGTTGTCCATTTAACAAAATTTGCGAAAATTTCGAAAAATCGTAAGTCTGACGATTTTTGTCACTTGCGATTTCTCGCAGTTCTTTGTCATGTAGCCTGCGTAGCAAGCGTTACCGTGCGGTTTAGGAGCAACGAACGAGGAACGATAGTCAAAGACCGCTCGAAAATGGCTCTTGTTTCATTTCTCGCGCGGCCAAAGCCGAGAATCCCGTTCCTTGGTCTTTCTTTGCTCCGAAACCAAGCGGAAACGCTTGCTACGCAGGCTATTGTCATGTTAATCAGTTCACTTTTCTCGTGTTCATGATCACCTAAAATAAAGCCGTTTGCGGATTTTTTTGTCCGAAAAGTTTCCGCTTTAATTGCCATTTTGGCATTTCCCTGTCAGCGCAATTAAAGCATTTCGACACGCAAAAGTCAACGCAGCCAATCTTTAAATAAAGGTTTGTTATCTAAAGGTTCGAGTGATATTCGTGAGATTCCATTGTATTTCAAGTTTCATCATTTTAACTGTATTTTATACCTTCTTTAAACTAAGAGTTTTCGAACAAGGGATCAACATCATTAACGCATTTTTCAACTGGTCAAAGTTATTTATTCACATTACATCTTGAATACAGCATCATTCACTGCAATGTAACAATTATTTTCACTAGTACATCTAAGTTATGTGGTCGTTTCGCCCTAAAGTGGATTCGCCCGAGGTTGCTTCGCCCGCACACTGACTTGTTAAAGTCGATCCGACCGATGACAAACAACACTCTACAACACCGCTTATTAAAGATGCTTTTCGCTTTGATTATTTTGCCGCCATTACTTAAATAGGTCAAGCTAGCGTTCTGCACGATCTTAGAAATCTCGACGATTGCTACGTCGATCTTGAATATATTTTGTATAAAGTCGTCACTGCAAAATGTTGTGGATCACTATATGCTGTCACTTTCACTTTGACGCTTATTCCTTGACAAATCAACGCCGTGCAAATCCAAAAGTAATGTATATACCTCGGGTCTTTAATGCTCATGCCTCAACAACAACACTGTACATGTCATATACTTCGTTCTTTATCCACCAACCCCAGCTAAGCCTTCTTAATTCGAATCAGCCATTCTTGTTTTACAGTATTCGGCGACTTCAGGACTGCCACCGAAGACTAAGAACATTTTTACACCTAGTCCATCGCCAATTTACTTCATTGGGGACTATGGACGGCGAACATAGCTAGGTCGGTTGCGGGTGCCATTAAATCTGACTGAGACACCGAAAAATGGTCATATATGGTTAAACCTCATTGCTTTAACTTACTAGCACCAGGGGCACCCAACGACAATTTTCGGAAAATATCTGTTCGGAAGACGATTTGAGATCTACAATTTTCGGAACATTTTTTCCAAAATTTCTTGCTTGTCTGCCTCTCCTAGGATTTTTGAACATCTATAAAATGGTAGAATTGCCCATTTTTAATGGATTTTTAGCCTAAAAAGGTCACCTAGAATTTTCGGGAGCCTTTTTTCTGGCTGAAATTTTCGAAAAGGTAAGTTTTGATCCCTATAATTTTCGGATCACTAGACTTTCAGCTAGGAAATCCGAACAGATGAAAAATTTTTAGGAGATAAAAATATGCCTATATCTACCGTTTAATTACTAAAATACGTTCAACAATGCTATGTTTAAGTAGTTTTTAACTATATTCTCGTTGGGTGCCCCTGTAGCACCTAAATTTCTTCTTTCGTGGCCTCTATCTGATAGTGCCCAAAAAGTACTTAATTTTAATAATGACGATGTAATAAAAATGAGAACTGGTCAATAATTACAGGATTCGAACAGGTTTTTGGATTTAAACTTGAACACTTTTTGCTATTTTTTCTTAAGTTCAACTAAGGAAAAATCAATGTCGGGCGAATCCACATGTAATAGATGTTCTTTAATGCTCATGGACCCAAACAACAACACTATAAATGTAATATACTTCGTTCTTTAATCCACAAATCCCAACAAAGCTGTTGAATACGAAGCAACCATTGCAATTTAAAATTTTTGGCGACTAACGGACTGCTCACCGCGGTAGCAGCACACTTTCACGTACAGTCAACTCCCGCCTTGCGGACACCTCGCTATTACGGTCACCCCGCTATTACGGACAGCAGCAAAATCCCCGGCGAAAGTTACAGACGTTTGACTGAAATAAACTCCCGCTATTACGGACTCTCGCTACTACGGACTTACGGACACTTTATTCGGTCCCAACGTGACAATTTTATTGTTTTCTCTCTCGTTATAGGGGACACCGAGCAGCATCTTGGAATATTTGCACACATATCAAGTCTATTTTTTCTGCTTTTTGAGACTGTCTTTGTCTTTTTTGGTCGATTTCCGCTTCTTCTGTCCATCAATCAAAATTCCTTTATCTTTTTCTCTTAAGGCCCTCTTTGCAGTCTCGCTGCCATGAATAAGTTCGTCCAGTCTGTCCAAATATTGGAAGTTCCAGTCCCAAGCCAGATCCTCGATTGATCCGTTTTCCACAGATTTCTGCTCTTGCCTTGTGGTTAGCCCTTTTTAAAAAAGACGACACAATTCTCGATAAAGCTAATGGGATATGGCGAACAATGCGTCCAGCATCTTCTACAATAGCTACAGCATGCGGATCTTTTGCATTTTCTGGTTTCCGCTGTAAAGTTAGCCTACGCGCAGACGAAATTAAACTCTGGTACTAATCAGAGTTTAGTTATCGTCTGCACGCAGGCTACTGTAAAGTGAGCGTGGTACCAATAACAGGCGCGAAAATGTCCTTGTAAGCATGGTGGCCTCGCATCCACGAGTAGTACTCTTTGCTTTCAACTCTTCCAATTTGAGGACTGGCCATAACCGGTACAGAAAATAAAAATAGCACAAAATGAGTTTGGTTTGCTCTTGACAGAACCACAGCGATCTTTGATCTCTAGCGAGACCACACAGAAAGGTCGTGCGTGTGAAATATTTTAAAACATGTGACTAAAATGCATACTGTATGTAAAAACTTTTGTGTAATTGCAACTGATACATCCGGTACCTGTCAAGTTTACACGTGGTATTTTGCAGCAAGCGTGTGTTGACCAGGCTGTGTTCTGTTGAAGACACCATTGAATCATGCCAAAAGATAAAACAAAGCGGAAAGCAAGGAATTACCGAATTACCTTTAGAAAAACGTTTTCAAATCGTAGAAGAATACGAAAATAGCAAAGGATTGACAGGAGTACGCAAACTTGCTGAGAAATTCAGTTGTGGAAAAACACAAGTAAGTAACATTCTGAAACAGAAGACTCTTGTAAGAGAGGAGTACGAAAGAGGATTTTCCAGTACGAAGAAGCGTAACCGTACTTCACAATACTCGGACGTGAATGATGCTGTATGGGAATGGTTCAAGAAGAAAACCGAACAACGCACTCCAGTCGATGGTCCTATTATCCAGGAGTTTGCAATGAAAGCAGCAGAGAAACTTGGCTACCCTGAGTTCAAGGCGTCAAGCGGCTGGCTTACGAGATTTAAAGAGCGCAACAACCTTTCGCAACACAAACTCTGTGGTGAATCTGCTGATGTGCCAGAGGCTACAGTGTACTCTTGGAAAGAGCGTCTTGGGTCTATTATCTCTGGATATGCGATGCAAGACATCTGGAACATGGATGAAACTGGCTGCTTTTACCGCACACTTCCGGATAAGAGCCTTTCGGAGAAAGCAAAGAAATGCAAAGGAGGCAACAAGTCAAAAGAGCAGTTAACTGTTGATTTCTTCGTTTCTGCTACTGGGGAAAGGAGAAAACCAGTTGTCATCGGAAAGTATGCGAATCCAAGGTGCCTGAAGAATATAAACAAAGATGATCTTCCTTGTCAGTATTTGAATCAACAGAAGGCTTGGATGACATCTGATATCCTTCACAAGCTCCTCAGCCAGTTAAACAGCTCTTTCAAGGCCCAGAATCGATCAATACTTTTATTCGTTGACTCTGCTGGATGTCACCCGTATGATCTCAAGGGACGCTATTCCAATATTAAACTTGTGTTTTTTCCTGTAAACTGCACGTCCAAGCTGCAACCTTTAGATCTCGGAATAATCCAGAACTTTAAAGTCCATTACAGAAAGTTGCTACTTCGTCATATTATTACAATGACCACAGACCACGACAGTGCAACAGACATTGCCAAAACATTGGACGTGCTGCAGGCCATCAGGTGGATGGGGACTGCTTGGTCTAAGGTCGAGAACGATACCATTATCAAATGTTTTGCAGCAGCTGGAATTTCCAGCACTTTCTCAGAAGCAGCTACCGTCAGTACTGTGACAGGAGAGGAGGATCCCTTTGCTGATCTTGATGTCTCGGCCGATGAGGAACTGGAGAATCTTGTCCAACAGGTTGCACCTGGAAGTGGAATCAGTGCTTACCTGGAGTCCGATAACGAACTTCCGACCTGTTACAGTCTTCTTACCGAACAACAGCTGCTAGAGGCCATTGGTACTTCTCACGATGTCATGGAAATAGAGAGTGCCGACGAGAATGAAATGGAAAAAGAAGATACCCCAGGTGAAGGCGAACGCTCGAACGAGACAACAACTTTGAAAATTATCAAGGGCGTTTTTGACAGTGTCCAAAACATTTCTGCTTTTTTTATTCATAGAGGGGAGTTTAAGGTTGCTAATGAATTTAAACAAAAAAAACATTTCTGCTTTTTTTATTCATAGAGGGGAGTTTAAGGTTGCTAATGAATTTAGTCTCCTTGGCGACAAAGTGGGGGAAGTTGCAGTTCAAAGGAGAAGTACACAGAGCCGATTGGAACGATATTTTAAGGCAATGTGATAGCTGATGCAATCAATAGCTGATGTTCAGGTTTTTCCTTGAAAATAATTTTTTTTAGAAATGTAGATTACTGTA